GGTAAGAGGGTCTCTTTCCACATAATGCCAGCTACCGTGTGTTTTCCCTCGTTATTATGTGTTTTACATCAAGTTAATGTGGGTCTATGTTGAGAAATGGAAAAGTTTTTTTGAGATGCATAAACCACTTCCATTTAATACAAAAGTTTCCTGCTGGAACAAATTAGTAGTACCAAATAGAGAGTGGTGTTCACATTTGTTTCATCTCCTCTCTAATAAGTTTAACAAATATATTACAAAACTTACCTTGAAAACTCACAAAAAGAGTATCACCATAAATTCAAATTTTAAACAAAAAGCAAGGAGACATATTCTATTACATTATTGAAAAGTTAATGTCGAATGCTTACGATTAGCGACCGTCGAAGTCAGTAATTGAGACCTCATTTACAGAGTTGCCTTCTCTGTAATTTGCAGATACATCTGAGCTTGTACTGGTTCCATCATCAAACACCATAGGTGGGGGCATGGGCAAGCTGAGACTCGAAGAATCACTTCCGAACATGACAACCACTGAAGAAATAGGGGGTCTTTCTGTTGCATCTGCTTGAACACAAAGAAGCCCAATGTGAATGCATCTCAAAACTTGATTTCTTGGGCATGTCTCACCAAGAGATGGATCCATCAACTCTATGGGTCTCCCGTCATGCCACAACCGCCATGCCTGTGTCATTTGAGCCATTAGTTTATGTTGTCTAATATGCAATAAGGAAAAAAAAAAAAAAAATAGAAAAACAAAAAATCGAATATAAAGAGAATATTATTTAAGGGGTTAAAACCCCTTAAAAATCTTAAAGGTTCAAAATATGCCAATTGACATTAGATGACTTGCTTTTTAATTTTCATTCCTCCTTAAAAACTAAAAAACAAAATCTTAGAATTGTTCATATTCAAGTTTCTGAACCTCAAATAAGCAAGGGCACTTCAGAATATTGACCGGCCCAAGAGGTCCCAACCATATGACAGGAGGGCCCTACTTGTCTAAAGTGGATCAAATTACTGAATAGGAACAATTTGGGCATTTTTAAAAATATTTCTTGACATGGTATTTGAGTGAAATGAAAAATATGGGAAAAAGAAAACTTTAGTGGTAATTAAAATCTTTTCACTCCCTTATTTTATAAGGAGTTTTGACACCCTAAAATGTTATTTCTCCTGAACGTTAAGAAATTGTGGCTCAGGCAGAAGAGATGTTGTATTTACGTATTCTACTAGTCCTTGACTCCCTTCCAATGGCTCATTGTTCTTTCTCCCGCAAACAATTTCCAATAGCAAAACTCCAAAACTATAGATATCTGTTTTGACTGAGATAATCCCCTGCAAAATGTACTCGACCGGCATGTAACCACTGCATATGGATACAAGTAAAAAATATTAGAAAAATTATGTGTACATGTAGGAATGAGCCAAAGGCTAGTTCGTCAGGGTGGCCCAACATGATATGTTGAGACCTATTCCAATTATAAGTAGGACTTCAAACCCCAACTGAACTACCAAAAAAAAAAGCAAAAAAAAGAAATTATATGTACATGACAAGAAGAGAGGCAATCGAACACAATGCTGAAGAAAAACTAATAAGGAAATGAAGAATGAATAAAATGCTTAATCAAGGGTGTGCAATGCAAGGATACAGAAAACAATGTCTTCACTTAACACTGTGTCCCAAACCTCGCTCAACCTCTCTTTTCCACCCTGCTCTCTCTCACTTGAGATCAATTGTTCCTTACAACTAATGATATGCAAGTAAATGAGAGAGAGAGAGAGAGAGAGAGAGAGAGAGAGAGAGAGAGAGAGAGAGAGAGAGAGAGAGAGAGAGAGAGAGAGAGAGAGAGAAGAGAGTAGTAGAGTAGTAGTAGTAGTAGTAGTAGTAGTAGTAGTAGTAGTAACGTAAGTAGTAAGTACGTAAGTACGTAGTAACGTACGTAGTACGTA